TTAAAAAATCACAAAATTTTATAGCCAAAATGTGAATTTTTGATTTTTAACTTTCATTAATTCTTTAAATTTACCTCAAATGTATACTTTATATATATCGATCAATTCGTCTTGACGTAAGGAATACGATTTTATTATATATAACCTTAAATTTTTCTATTTAAAAATTTTTTCGATTAAAAAAAATTTTGGAAAAAAGACAATAAATACATACATCCGGACAATTGATCAGGGTCTCATATAACATGTTTCTACCCAGACAGCACCGTTTTTCGCAGGGAGTTCGCGGGGAGTTCCCCGTGTTAAGTTCGGAAACTAAGTTGGGGAGCTTCAGGGGAAGTTCAGGCGAGCTCTATATGTCCTCGGTTTTATAACTCGCGGTGCGAATTTTGAATCAATTTTTGTAAATACATAAATTTTTTTAAATTACTATATATATTATACGACGTGTTACAGTGTGTTTTAATACAGATATGTTTTTTTATTATAAAAAATATGAAAAAACATTGCGTTGTATAAAAAATTTTGATTTAAAGAATGCAAGAAATTTATTTACAATTATTATAAATAATTTATATTATTATTGACAAATAATTATAAATATTTATTATAAAATGCAGATACTTTAATTTTTAAATTAATTTATCAAATTACAAATTGACGATTTAAATGTCCACCATACATCTCGGTAAATTTAATTAATTAATTAATGATAAAAGCCATAAACATACGTTGATAAATGTTCAAAAAGTTTTTCTAATTATGTTACTTTTAATTGAATAATAATTTAATAAAAATTTGACAAGTCCAGAATTTTTTATAACGAGATTCAGTATTTAATAAATTTCATTTTTAAAGAATTACCTTAAATCGTTTTATATAGCTGCTAGTTTCACAAATAATATTAATATTAACATTGCAATATTATTTCAATGCCCTTTTAATTATGACACTAATTTAATAATAGAATTTAAAAATATTTCGTTGAAAACATTTTTAAATTTTCCCGCCATTCGTGTCAACTGATGACGACAAGGCTTGCAGCTTATAAAGACCCGAAAGTTACCCACCTTCAGGTCGTTGGTTAGGTTAGTGGTTAGGGTTCTTGGCTGTTGTGTTGCGCGTCCGGGTTCAATCCTCAGCTCCTCCAAATTTATTTCCGAAAATTGCGCCGTTAATGTTGGGGAAAAATAAAAGAAAGCGCAATAGGGAAAAATAAATTTTTTTAATTTTACTTTTATTTAATAAATATTATAAAACATTTATAATAAACTTACCTTATAAAATTCACTGAAAACTTGCATTTTAATTTTACAGGAAATTTGTCTATATATCTTTAGAGTACTTTCTGGAGATAGTTTTAAAGAAATTTACAAAGCAAATTTCTGTAAAACTCAAAATTTAATATTTCCTAAACTTTTATCCACAATTTTTCGGCAAACTTAATCGGATAACTATCCTGAACTTCGCACCGCGAGTTATAAAACCGAGGACATATAGAGCTCACCTGAACTTCCCCTGAAGCTCCCCAACTTAGTTTCCGAACTTAACACGGGGAACTCCCCGCGAACTCCCTGCGAAAAACGGTGCTGTCTGGGTATATAGAAAAAAATTTGTTTCCGCCACTTTGAAAATTTTTATAAAAGAAAGGACTACAAAGCTTCCTCCACGAGGAAGCAAAAAACAAAATTTATTTAAAAAAATTATTTTCAAAAATGTATTGAATATAATTAATATATTTTTTATTGTATTTACAAATATAATATTAAGGAGGTTCAACCCATTAACATAACCTCAAACTAAAAACTAGTTTTTAACAGAACTAAAAATATATTTAAAATTTATTACACCCAAATTGGAGAGATCCAATTTTACAATTTTGGAAAAAAATAATTTTGAGTTAAAATTTGTTGTTAAATAATAATTAATAACCATATTGTATTTTTTTCTTAAAAGTTCCGAGATATATATGGGTGATTCTCCGCGTAGCGCACGATTTGGTGTCTGATACTTTAAAAATATTTTTTTATCGAAATGACAAATATCAATACATATTTTTGAAGATAAAGTGTCAAGAAATAAATATCCATGGTGGGTCGAAAAATTATTTATAATTTTTTTAAACAAATTAAAAAAAAATTTGTTGCTTTTTGAATTCTATAAAATAGTTGAAATTTGATTTAAAATGTTTATGGAAATTTTTTGGGTAATTCACAAAAATATATATAGCGCGAACGACAATTAAAAATTTTTATTTCGGTAATTTAGGGAAATTTTCGAGGTAATTTATGGAAATTTATGCGGTAATTTATAGAAATTTTGTCTAAAATTCATAAAAATATGTAAAGCATAAATCACAATTAAAAATTATAATTTTGGTAATTTACGGAAATTTCTGCGGTAATTTATGGAAATTTTCGCGGTAATTCACAAAAATATATATAGCGCGAACGACAATTAAAAATTTTTATTTCGGTAATTTAGGGAAATTTTCGAGGTAATTTATGGAAATTTATGCGGTAATTTATAGAAATTTTGTCTAAAATTCATAAAAATATGTAAAGCATAAATCACAATTAAAAATTATAATTTTGGTAATTTACGGAAATTTCTAGTGATGCACGTCGAGATGCAATATTCTTGATTATTGAATGTTATCGATTGTTATTGAAATTATCTTGTTGTCAAATTATTGAATTTTCATTTGTTTTTCAATAACCTGTAGTCTTGTTTTATCTAATGAGACAAGCGATATTTAAAACAATATTGATTTTGATAACTGTCACTTTGACAGATGGAAGTTTTTTTTGAATTTTAACGAACTTTTCTTAACAAATCAAGTTTCTATTACTATAAATTGAGTTTTTATTAATAACAACAATTAGTGCACATTGAATAATGGAGAAATCGAATTCCGAAAAAAGAAAATTTGATTCGTTGTCAGACAGGCAAACAATTTCTCTTCGTATATCTACTTACAATTTTTTTTTCTTTTTAATATGCCAATAAAAACAATATATTTATGAATTAAAATTTTATTTTTCTCTGATTAACAAATATAATTTTAAAAGCAGTGGAATTGAAAATAAAGGTGAACGCAGTAAACGATTGAAAATGAATTTTGAAATTAAAAATGTCGACTTAAGAAACAAGGAAGGAGTTTGCAAACTTTGCCGCAAAGAAAAAATAGAACGAACGATTAAAACGAAGAATTGTAACACTACTGGACTGATGCGGCATTTAGAAAATCACCACAATGAAATATACAAAGACATTTATGGTTGCAACTCATCGGGTGCTGTAGAAAAAAAGGTTAATAATACGAAGTCATTATTCTTTCTAATATTTATTTTTTAATAGCTCCTTTCTAACTGAATAATCTTTAGACGTAAATTTTTTTAAAAATAATTTCTATAGTTTGACATAATTTCTTAAATTCGTTATAATTAAAAACAAATTAATTTTTTTATTTTATAATAAAGATAAACTACAATTAAAAATTTTGGGGTAGTTTTTATAATAATTTTTATGATTTTGTATATAATTTCTAGAATTAATTTGATAATTAAGGGGAGGAACTAGACGTATACCAGTTTTATTTTTAGTATTTTTTAAGATAAAAATAATTTTCTATTAATACAATTAAAAATATATAAATTTTTTATCATTTTATAAATTTATTTTTTTAAAAAATTACAATTTTTCAAAATTCATGTAATTGATTGTTTAAAATTATAAAAAACGTAGAAAATAATTGGCAATGAAATATAATAAAAATGTTGAGACAAATTGTTAAATTAATTAAATTTATTATTAAAATTAATATTATTAAAATTATCTTTCAGAAATTTTGAATTTTCCCTTATATTTTATAGATTATTTTCAACCAAGAATACTTTGAACGTTTATTGGTGACAATGTGTGCAAAGAAATGCCTCTCGTTTAACTTTTTCGACGACGCTGAATCCAGAAGTGTTTTTGAGTATCTAAATAATACAGCACAGTTACCTCAACGCAATAAATTGAAATCATTATTTCTGTCTCACTTCGAAGAAACAAAAAAAATTGTTTTAGAAATTTTGGAAAATAACACTTCTAAAATATCGTTTACCGCTGACGGCTGGACATCGATTCGAGGGAAATCATACTGCGGCATTACTGGTCACTTTATCGATGAAAATTGGATTCTGAGGGCCTTGGTAATTGACTTTGTACCATCGAATGGTAAGCTCACGGAAAGAGACATCGCCAATTTATTTTTAGAAGTTCTGAAAGAAAAGGGATTAGTACATAAACTACAAGGAATAACTGTCGACAACGCGGCAGTGAACACGACTTTTATAGAACAACTTTCGATGCTAATTAAGACAACTTTTGGTATAAATATTGATTCTAAAGATGCACATTATCATTGTGTTGCACACGTCATCAACTTAGCTGCTCAAGATTTGTTGCGTGAACTTGCAGTTGATGATAATCAAGAAAATTCTGAAGAATTGGAAGATGACGACTGCGATTCTGTCGATGGATTAGATGGTGATGAAAAAGAGAGCGAAGAAGAAAATACCAGCGGTTCAAAGGTCATGGTTCGATTGAGGAATCTGTTTAAAAAAATGAAAAAATCCGAACAACTTCGAGAAAAGTTAAAATCTGCCTGCGATGTGATGGGAGTAAAAATGTTGTCTCTACTTTTCGACGTGGCAACAAGATGGAACTCATCTTTCGAAATGATTGACAGAGCTCTTCCGATGAGACCGGCTTTGGAGTTTCTTTGTAACAGTGATCCAAAATTGAAATCTTACGCTCTTACGAATGCCGAGTGCACATTTTTGTCAACTATTCGCACACCTTTGAAATATTTCAAGTCATTGTCAACAACTCTCTGCGGGGAAAATTATATCACTCTATCTCTGGTCGTACGTGGACTGAATTTACTACTGGACAAATTGGAAAATTAAATAACGCGTGTATATCAAAATCCAAACAGAACTGTAGTCGAAATGAAACTTCGAGATTCTCTTGAGACTGCTATAGACAAAATTTTGAAACATTACCGAAAATTCAATTGGGTCTACAGTTCAGTTTTAATTCTAGATCCTAGATTTAAATACGAAATGTTTCAGAAGACAAAATGGGGTCGTGAAATGGCTTCTGACTCTTTAAAAAAATTTAATAAAATTTTTGAAGATTTATACGCACCAAAAAAATCTAGAAATCAACCAGAAGATAACTTCCAATCGCCACATGACAACAATGCAAGCGCTAATGAAAACGATAAAGATGAATTTAATATTCTCTCATTTTTCGAACAGGTTTCTGTACCTGCATGGCGTGAAGAAGTTGATGGATATTTGAAAGCACCATTCGCTGACAGGAAGACAGACATTGGACTCTGGTGGAAGCAAAATCAAAATATCTATCCTAATTTAAGTCGCATGGCCAGAGATCTCTTCAGCATTCAAGCGACTTCTGCACCGGCAGAACGTCTATTTTCAAAGGCTGGATTAATTATAAGAAAACAACGGAATCGACTAAATAATGAATCGGCTAGAACATGTATCTGTCTCAATTCTTGGATGACATGCAGTTTACACTCAATTATAACAAAAAAAACTGAGAAATTCGTAGAATTGTGAAAATTGGACTTTAAATTCGTAATCAGCGACCCCAAAAACCCCTAGATAATAAATTTCATTAAAATCTAACAATTTTTAAAAATTCGTCCGCCATATTGGATCCGCCATTATATTCTTTGAAAATTTTAATTTTACCATATTGGATTTAAAGTTTTTAACTTCATATTCGTAATAAGGGATCAAAAAAACATCCAGATACTAAATGTAAAACCATTAAACTTTAAAAACATTCCGCTTACCCTTGAAATCCGACATGTTTTTTGAGGTTAGGAAAAACTGTTGACGTGATGGAACAAATCTGACTCCAGATTCGTGTTCAGCGTATCAAAATACATATGATAAAGGTCCAACTCGGGATTTTTTCATGGTGTTGTTGTGTAATAGTGATTTTTATTGTATATGTGGTAATAATAAATCCAAATATTTCAATCCTCATTTTCAACCCTTAAAGCATCATGTCTGCCAAAATAAAAATACACGTGTCAAATTTTTTTCGATTCTGTGCAAAATGCCCATAGTCCGATCTCAATCGTTGATTAACAATTGGGTAGCGTTACTTGTAAGTTAAAATACATTAATGTTGTATTAAATTTATTTTAAGTTTTACTTTATATTTTTAAAATTATACAGAATTAATGAGAAAATGTCTATGAAGCTGGGATCGAACTCGTATATCTTGGGCTTGAAGCATTGCGCCTTAAACACCTCAGCCATTGAAGCCAGATATACACAGGAAAAAATAAGTTTTGTTTCAAACCTGAAAAGAAGCTAGTTTCAATATGGGACACAAACTAGACCGAATATAGTTTCTAACTCGCTCATAGCATAAGTCTTACTTTAAGCCTACTGTAGGGGCTAACAATAAGCTACCTTTTGAAATAGAAAGTAGCCACAAGCCCGAACCTGGGCTTAAATCAAGCCACTGCGCGGTATAAAATTAGCTAACATAACCTAAACTTTTATGAAACCTGTCCACACCATATTATTGAAATTTTACACAAGTTTTGAAACATCAGACAACATTTTATTGATATAAATCATACTTTATATATATATAAAACATAAAGAAACAAATTTATTTTTGTATATAATTTATATATTTTTATATTTGTGAGAAAATTGTAACAAAATTATGTTGTATATATAACATTATTATCACACTCATAACAATTAAAACTGAATTTATAGGACACAAACAATTCATGATATGAAAATGTTTTATAAAAATAGTGTCTAAATTTTTTATACAGGAATGAAGATGTGAGTCTTTTGAATTAATTCATTTAGTGCCGATTAACTATAGACGCGTCACATTTTTGGAAAGGCGTCTATGACACTTTACACTCGGGCACTTTTGTTGTACGTCTAGTTACAACTCACTAGTATCTAGACCTCTTGGGCTTGATTGAAGACTTTTAACGTTTCATTTCTATCGAATAAAATTTTGTATTGAGTCCAAGACCACAAAGACTTGTTTTGAATCTAATAGAACTAAATATTTGTCATATTAAGGGGTTATATACAGTCACGATTTTCAAAAAATCGATTTTTTTGCTGCATTTTCTTAAAGTATATATATTTGTCTGTTGTGAAGAAAATTTTTATTAAGATTCGAGAAATATTTTCGAAGTTACAGACAAAACTAGAAAGGCGCGCCGTATACATATAATATATATATATACATATAATTGTCGTATACCTGAGTCTGCAATTGGAATGGAAGATACATTATATGGTCCTGGAATAGACGATTCAATGTAAGTATGAAAAAAAAATTTTAACTTAATGTAAACTGTTTGTGAAACTTAAAATCGCTTTTTCTCAAAACTATGTTTTTCAAATCGGTGAACACGATTTCTCGAAAACCACTGAACCGATTTAGCTCTAATTTTCACACAAGCTAAATAACTACTTTTGGCTGTCCTTAATCGAAGATCTTTTAAATAAAATTAAAATTATAATTTTAATCAACACTTGAAGTCGATTTTTTTCCATGAAAATGAATCTTTTTTTTCTAGAACTTGCCATTTTATCAAAAAGTGATATTTTTTTAATTCCTTCGATTAAGGACTACATTTTTTAATACAATAACAGAATCTTTTTGACTTTTTGATTTCAGATGATTCTGTCAATTGCTATTATGTTCACCGCGGACCACTTTTTTTCGAGGACCTTTGGGAGATTGGATATAGAGGCCAAAAAGAATAATATTTTTACAAATTAAATATATTTTTTTAAACTTAAAAACATGTAAAACAATGTAGAAAAACTTCTGGTTATATAAATAAATATTCCTTTGAAAAAAAAAATACCGAAAAACTGCATTTTTTTTGAGCGCCTGACTGTATATAACCCCTTAATATCTCGTTTTTCATTAAGACCTTAACGGCTTATTTTAAAACCATTATTTGTGATTGATACTAGTTATCAACTACTTTCTAATCAAAATTAAAAATTAGACTATGCTCAGAGTAAGACTTTTTTTCCTGTGTAAACCTCTACAAAGTTTACGATGTCACATCTCAATGAAATAAATTTAACTTAGAAGAATTCCAATAACTTTAATCTTCAACAGTTTCTAAGTTCACGTTTAACTTAGAAAATAACATTATATATTTATGAAAATTTTTCTATTTTCAAAATTTGAAAAAAGACGTCTGTATAAGACATCTTAAAGAAATCAAATGGCCAAGACATAGAACATTCTTAGGTCGTCTTTAAGACGTCTTTTGTCACAAGTCCAAAAGACGTCCACATAAAGATATCCTTAGGACGTCTGTTGAAAAAGTGTGCCCACTGGGAAATGATTTTTGATACAGTTGTATATAATGTTATTATTTTTGATTCCTTGTGGAGGAAGCATTGTAGTCCATTCGTTTATAAAAATTTTCAAACTGGCGGAAATAAATTTTTCTCTATATAGAAACATGTTATATGAGATCCTGATCAATTGTCTGGATGTATGTATGTGTGTGTATGTGTGTGTGTGGATCTCTTTTTTGTTTAGACGAGAACTTTAACAAGTTTTAATGGATTTGGGTAAAATTTGGTAGGCTTATTTATCATATTAATATTTCAAAACTGACCAAAGGATTTTAAAAAATACAAAAAAAATTTTTATCGTCTTTTTTCCAAAATTTTTTTTTTAATCAAAAAATTTTTTAAATAGAAAAATTTAAGGTTATATATATAATAAAATCGTATTCGATACGTCAAGACAAATCGATTGGTATATATAAAGTATAGTTTTAATTTAAATTTAAATAATTAATGAAAGTTAAAAAATCAAAAATTCACATTTTGGCTATAAAATTTTGTGATTATTTAAATTTAAGTTTATGGGTGTGTTACATCCCAGTAACAAAAATTTTAAAAATATATTAAAATATATTTCATTTATATAGGCATATAATAAGTAGTAAAAATAATAGTAAACAAAGCTTTACTCTCAATCTTTCAAAATTGATAATCTAAAATTATAATTATTTCTAATATTATATTGAAGCATTGACTCATATATATCATTACGTGTGTCTATATCTATATATATGCATATCTCTGCTTGCATGCTATAACTCGACGCGAGCAAACAATGTATATAGATATAGTGCGTACAGGCATGGATATGTGAATATAGATATAGCGAGTAGATGCATCACCGAAGGTGACCTCCCGCTACAGAAGGGCTATGCTGAGGAATCGCGTGTGGTTGTTGAACAAGAGCGAAAACTATCTATACTAGTTTTCGCCCTAATTCTTCAAAATTAATTATTTCTTTTTGCAATATTATATAAAATTCAATTACCTATTATTATCAAAATAACAAACCTCATATTTTCAATATTTTAAGATTACAAAACGCTATTATTCAAAAGTATGAATAATGCTCAATATAAAAACTTTCCTAATATGATTTCCACGCAATTCTTTGGCTAATTCTTAGGAATTGTTTTTGCAGCTGCATAAAGTATAAAATTCTATGCAATGTTCAATTTCTCACTTGTATCAAATAGCATAGGCTAACCTTTGACTTGAATATCGAAAGCCTGTTGGTAGGCAATTCCTAGAAATTATACCTATGCCATTTGACACTATTACGCACAATACTCTCTAGCAACGAATGGACTTATGACTCATGTATGCTTTAGCGAGGCGCAAGCACAGTTTTCGAGCGTAGTACTATTGGAAGATGCTTGTAGACGATGTAATAGCGATACTTGCGCTATGCGATACAGGATGCAGGTGTCCATCTAAGTTCTGAGAATTGTCTTAATTCTATGAAAATCTAAGAGTCAAGCTTAGAGATGGGGTGATCTTTGAACTTATTTACTCCCACTGAGGATGATTTTCTAGTATAAAAACCCATGCAAATGCATTGTCATTTGTCATTTGCTCCGGAATCATTTCATAGTTCGTTTCATAACGTGAAATTACCATCGTGAGTTTGACCCTTCGGTTACTTTAAAATTATTACGACTGTAACTCTTGCATCTCGAACAGTATATGTTTACTCGTTGTTCGGTATTAGAGCAAGTAATCATCATCGCCAGATTTGTAAGCTTGTCATTTATTAAATTTTATTGTTAATCGTCGTATTAGTGTATTCTCAATTTAACGATTTTGCAAACGTGACGTGTGTGCATTTCGGAGTTTACGAACTAAAAAACTGTGAGGAAGTCTCAACCGTTCCTTTTCAGGAGTTGTAAAAACTCATAACGTCAAGGACAAGTGCCAACTTGTCAATTTATATTTGTTTCTGCCCTCTAAACAGAGGTAATTGTAAGTACTATATTTTAAAATTCACAATTCTTGTAACAACATCTTTTAACATAAAACATTATTGTAACATTTTGATTTGATTCATTTATATTAATAAATTATACAACATTTATATCAATAAAATTCTTCATTGAGATTCTCATATACCTAAATTCATATTTAAATTAACAACGATAAGTGTCAAGGCAATTATTTAATAGTAAAATAAATTAAAAGACGAC